TCCTGTCCAGTTAATTTCCTGCTAATGTACCTGCCTTTCTCGCTGTTGCAACACGGGCTGAGTCAGCCGTCTTCTTGAGTGACATTTGCCGCCGGGCTCCTTTTCCTAGAAGTCACACATCCACTTACACGCAAAGACAGGAATGTTATTTTTGGGGGTTCCAATCGAGATCACTTTAGATTACGCCGACTGTGATCTGCTTGTCATTCTTTGGAATCTGCTGAGTTAGGACTCCTTTTGTTGTTGTGTACCTTTGAGTCGTTGTGTGATTTAGTGTCTTGACTTGGCCTTGCCTTACTCTTGAGGCTGAGAGAGTGTGACTTGCCCAAGTGGCTGAGCAGGGACTCGAATGCAGGTCTCTCAATGTCTTTGTCCAACGTTCAAGCTATGTTGCTTTTCTTTTTTAATGATCTTATACCTTATTATTCCTTTTGCATCGATAATGCTATGTAACACAATTTTTGCCTGTTCTCAAGGTGAGAGGCATACGTTTGCATTTTAGATGGATTAGGAATCAGCTGTAATAGTCAGTAAGAGCACCTCAAGCTTTGGAGAGCTTCTGTTCAGCTATTTCAAAGCTCCCTTCTTGAGCAGTGGTGACATGATCGTCAGCATAGATGAAACTCAGATAGATTAGAAACCAGCTGGTTTTCCCAGTAATAGGCAGTAAGAGCACCTCAAGCTTTGGAGAGCTTCTGTTCAGCATTTCTTCTGTCTCCACCACCTGCTTCTCTGGCCCTGGAACTCAACAAAAAAGCTCCTGTTTTGCAGCAGATTTCCTATAAAGTGGGCGAGGTGGTTGTCCTTTGTGGTTGTTGCACTCCAGACCCGGAAAAGCCCTCTGACTTTAAACACCACAGTCCGTTTATTAAAAAGCAGTAATAGTAAAAAGCACTTTAAAAGAATAGGTAAATCCAATTCTGTAGGAAGATAAGCCGGAACAAATAGTCCAGAAAATTAGTCCATCAAAGTTCATGAAAAACAAAGGCAGAAACTTCTATAGTAAATTCCAAAAACTGGAAACATGAATCCAAGGCACTTAAACACATAATCATAAAATCCATGAATTAAAAACATGAATCAAAGGCACTTAAACATGCATCTTTCCAAAGCAAAGCTTCATGTTTAAGTGCCTTTGATTCATGTTTTAAATTCTTGGATTTTATGATTATGTGTTGTAAGTGCCTTGGATTCATGTTTCCAGTTTTTGGATTTTACTATAGAGCAAGGCTTCCAAGGAACAGGGACAAGATCTTGACTTGATTCCAAACAATGCTTCATCTGACTACAGATCCTGTACTTGGGACTTTTATCTCCTCATTAAGCTATGTCCCATGAGGCCCAAAATTGGTTTCGCTTTAGCCTTGAATCCCTTATCTTTCTTTCTCTGAGCCTGGCAGAACGCCTGAGACACTGCTCTGCTTTCCTATTCTGACTAATAACATCCCATCTATCTATTTGCTCATTAATTTCTGCAGCTGGGCCAGGTGCTGAGCTGTTTTCAAGCTCCAAATCATGGGAATTCTCTGGTAGCAATTCAGGGAGCACACCATCATCCCCTCACTCTTCAGGAACATTCTCATGAGAAAATACACTTTGAACAGGGATCTCCTGGTCATTCTCTGCATCAATATTATTGGAAACACCATTACCTTCACGAACTTCATTGTCATCATTTCCCAAGTCCAAAGCACCTAATCCTTAAGCATAACCACAGTCTGAGCTCCGACAGTGATATTATAAATTATTCTCAGGAGAAGTGACTTGCAGTATCCAGAGCCTAAAAGCAGTAAAGAGTCTACGGCATTCTTGCTGAGAGCTTTGGAGTTTTGGAGAACTTCTGTTCAGCCATTTCAAAGCTCCTTGCTTGGAAGGTGATGGCACAATCGTCAGCATAGATGAAACTTAGATGGATTAGAAATCGGCTGGTTCCCCCGTCATAGGCAGTAAGAGCACCTGAAGCTTTGGAGAGCTTCTGTTCAACCATTTCAAAGCCTTCTTGAGCAGTGATGACATGATTGTAAGCATAGATGAAACTTAGATGGATTAGAAACCAGCTGGTTTTCCCTGTCATAGGCAGTAAGAGCACCTCAAGCTTTGGAGAGCTGCTGTTCAACCATTTCAAAGCTCCCTTCTTGAGCGGTGATGGCGCGATCGTCAGCATAGATGAAACATAGATGGATTAGGAATCAGCTGGTTTTCCCTGTGATTGGCAGTAAGAGCGCCTCAAGCTTCGGAGAGCTTCTGTTCAGCAATTTCAAAGCTCCCTGCTTGGGCGGTGATGGCACGATCGTCAGCATAGATGAAACTTAGATGGATTAGAAATCAGCTGGTTTTCTCTGTAATGGGCAGTAAGAGCGCCTCAAGCTTTGGAGAGCTTCTGTTCAGCAATTTCAAAGCAATTTCAAAGCTCCCTGCTTGGGCGGTGATGGCACGATCGTCAGCATAGATGAAACTTTCTGACCCTTCTGGAAGTGGCTGGTCATTTGTATAGATGTTGAACATTGTTGAACATTGATGGAGTGAGCACGCTCCCCTGAGGCAGGCCATTCTTCTGTTTCCGCCAACTGCTTCTCTGGCCCTGGCACTCAACAAAAAAGCTCCTGTTTTGTAGCAGATTTCCTATAAAATAGGTGAGGTGGTCATCCTTGGTGATATTATAATCAGACATGGGTCTATTTTTTCCACCATTCTATCCAAAATAAGTTGTTCATCAGCTTCAGCAGCCAGGACCTTGCTTTTGGGCCAAAGTTCTTATTTTGTTCCATCCCCAGAAGTGACTTGCAACATGTTTGGGGTAAATAAGGGCCATAATAGGCAGTGCTTTTGCTGCCCTCCACTGAACGCACCAAGAATTGCACCCTAAAGGCCGGAGAGGTGCTTTTGGCTCAGGCTCCCATTTAAGGTACTTTGCTGCCACCTTGTGGCCACAGGTATATTGCATGGCTTAATTATAATTTTCCCCAAAGGCACCCCTTCCTTCATTGAACCCCTTTAGGGATGGAGGGAAGGAAGAAGGGAAGGAAAAAAGGAAGCAACAATCTCCCCATATGAGTATGTGTGTGTATATATATGTGTGTGTGTGTGATACATATATATGTGTGTGTATTATACATATCTATATCTATAACTATATATAAATATAGATATGTCATATATATGTGTGTATACATATATAGGTGTAGATATACTGTGCATATACATACATATAGATTTAGATAGATATAGATATCTATTATATATATATATATATATATATATATTTAGGTAGATATAGATATCTATTATTCATAAATGTGTATCCATATATGTGTGTATATGTGTATGTGTGTGTGCATGTATATGTGTGCATAAAAATATATATAGATAATTTACAAACATGTATACATGTGTGTATGTGTATATATATGTGTGTGTATGAGATATATATATATATATATATATATATATATATATATATATTGTGTGTATGTATGTGTGTGTGTATATATATATATATATATATAGGGATAGATATAATGTGCATACACACATATATATATAGGTAGATATAGATATCTATTATTCATAAACGTGTATCCATATATGTGTGTATATATGCGCATGTATATATAAATATATATAGATAATTCACAAACATGTATACATGTGTATGTGTATATATATATCTGTGTGTATGATAAATATGTGTATATAGATATGTTTGTATACATATATATAGGTAAAAATATAATGTGCATACACACACACACATATATGCAGATAGATATAGATATCTATTATTCATAAGTGTTTATCCATATATGTGTGTATCTGTATATGTGTATATATGTGTGTGTGTGCATGTATATATGTGTGTATGTATATATATATGGATAATTCACAAACATGTATACATATGTATGAGTATATATATGTGTGTGTGTAACCTTATATATGTATATTTAGATAGATATGTATCTGCATTGTGTGTGTATATATATATATATGTGAATGTGAATATAGATGTGTATAGATGTGTGTAAATCTATATAGATAACTCACAAACATATATACATAATGTGTATGTATGTATGCATATGTGCGTATATGTATATTCATAGTTCAGCTTTATATAAATATGTTTGCATATATATATATACACACACACACACACATCTCTACATACGTGTGTGTTTGTGTGTGTGTGCATATATATATATATACACACACACATACAGTCATCTCTACATTCGTGTGTGTTTGTGTGTGTGTGTGCATATATATATATATATACACACACACACACACACAAACAGACATCTATACCTATGTGTTTGTGTGTGTGTGTGCATAACATCAACTCTATTTCCTAGTTAGAGGTGCAGAAAAACAAAAGTAAAAGTTAGTTGTCCGAGTGCCGATTGACTCCCCAGCAAATTTGGAGCTGACTTTTTTGATATCAATATATTGCTTAATATATTGTTGTGTAAGGACGTGAGTGTGAAATGCGCCCAACGCCTCCCTTTCGCCTTGTTCCGGATGTTTGTATCCGGCCCTTGAAGCCGGCATCAGATCATCCGAGGGGAGCGCTGGATTGTAATAAGGGCGCCATCCCTTTATCAGGGCATGTGAAGAGCACATTACCAAATCTGTGGCAGGGAGGGAGGGAGGGCCATTGTTTTGTTTTGACTTTTTTGTGTGGCAGGGAGTGCTTTAATTTCCCCAAATTTTATTAAAAATAGATCCCGCCGAGAGATAAACAATTGCCGAGATGAAATCTTTCTGGAGTGTGTTGTCGTCGCCTCCAAAAGCGCGAGACGAGACGCAAAAGGAAATTCAGGCCGAAGCGCACTCCGAAAGCGTGGCCGACCTTTGCTAATTGCACCTTTTTCGTTTGCATTAATCGATGGACAGTCCACCCGTTTTGCATCCTTCGAATTAGACCAGTTGGACACATTTGACGATGCCGTCTCGCATATATTTATTTTCTAATATAAATATGATACACCCCGGAGGCGATTCAAGTCAAGGAAATGCTTCTGTAGGTCGAGATCTGCGAGGAGCGGAGCGAACGCGACAAAGCGGGCGTCAGCAGCACCGAGGAGGACGGCAAGGCCATGCTGGTCTGGCACTGCAGCTTCTTTGCCATCTCGATGAGCGCAAGGCAGGCCTGGATCCAATTGTAGAGGTATT